CCCAAAACCCCAAAACCCCAAAACCCCAAAACCCCTCGAGTTATTTGTAAAATTGAAATATAAAAGTTCTCTTTTATTCGATTCCCAACAATTGGTACAGGAAATCAACATAATTGATCCTGTTTGTACCTGACTTGTCATACAGTTCGATGAGCATTCCAACATCGTTGATGTCAACTTCCATAGAGAACTGTTGCATTCTCTTCATCAGAATTTCTTGATCAATAAAGTCTTGAGAGGCCTCCTTGTAGTCTTTGACTTTCTTGGGACTAGCAATACTTTGGGCAGGAGTACTGAACTTATCACTCTGGCTTCTAAAAGGGTTCTTCAAAATACTTCTTTGGCTGACAGTCTTGTTTATATCACCATGTCTAGCCAATAGCTGGAAGCATCTCTGTGGATCATCGATAGATGCGTTTCAGTGTTTCTGAAGAGCAACAAACTGGAGCTCTGCCTTTACATGTCTAGCCAGAAGTTTTATAATGCACTGATTGGTGACATATTTGAACACCTTGGATTTATCCTTAGGGAATCCTTTCTCATACAGAGGTCTCCTTGATTGCACCTCCTTGTTCCAGGTTGCATCAAAGGGAGTAAATATCTTGCAAAATCTCTTAAAGCTTAATTTTGAGTTTTTATCTGCAACATATCTGTCAAAAATACTGAGTAATTTCTCTTTCTTTCTTGTAATTATTCCGAAAATTTGGCATCCTTTCAGGAACTCATGTTTGGCAAGCTGAGCGACTTTGTTTATACTAAAGATTTTGTAGGCATCAGGGAGGTTGAAATCAGTAGTATTTCATAACTCAACCTTGAGTTGTTCCATCTCACGCAAGATCTTCACTTGCTCCATGAATCATTTCACTACAGGGTACAGTAACTTTCTGTGTGACTTCTTAAAAGAAAGGCATGTAGGAGTAGCATAAGATGATCCTTTATGGCTGCTTGCGCTTCTTCTCTCAGTTTCCATATTGATACGTTGAAATGCTTGAGTCATGCCATCAAACCCAGTAGTGATGGTTTTGTAGTCAGATTCATCATCAGGAACCCTACTGCTAACGGTTAGATCTCCCTTCCTGCTAAATCTAGAGTCAAGCCTCACACTTGGAGACACGATTTGATTGACTGCTTCTCCAAAGGACTCTTCGCCTGATGGAGACTTTACAAAGGAGTGGCTTTCTGTTTTCTTCGGGGATTTTGGTCTATAAATTACCTATTTGTCTTACTGGAAAGTAGCATAATCTTTAACTTCATGGCTAGATTCTTCCTCAATTTCTTTTAAGCCTTTGCTCTCCATCTTTGAATTGTTTGGAGACATCACTTCTTCAGAAGGGGATGCTTCCATTGGTGGCTTTTTGTAAGTTTTGTTACTGTCATAATAACCAGAAAGATTATTTATATGGTTAGGAGACTTATATCTCATTTCTAGATTCTTGGTCTCAGGAGATCTGTGATCGCTTGCCTCCTGATAGCTCGGTGTCTTGAAGCTAGGATGGCTCTTGGCAGGACTATATGGGCAAATAGGCTCTTTCATAGGAGACTGCTGATATGCTGACCCCTGCATATTGGTCCTGGTTGGTGACTCAGGATTGTAATCATCCTGTAATCTTGCTTTTTGCTTATCCTTCTGTGCAGAATTATATTCCTCTGCAAGCATATGAGCTGCGTCATAACTTGACATAAACTTCTGAGGACTCCTCATTCTAATATCTTTAGATCTGCAATTTCTCAAGGGGGCTATCCTATTTAATCTTGTTCTTGGAGGACTCTTGTTAATATCTAAAATGTTAAAACTCAGGAACAAACTCCAAATTTCGATAAAAATTCGTTATTCTCGATAGAGAAACTATAGGATGAACAATTTCTTGAAACGAGGTAATCTAATGGATAAAAATCTTGTCTCTAACCCACTGGTTATAAGCCAAGTCTTACCCTTGATGGCTCTTGGCCCATAAGGAGTTTGCGTGTAATAGTTGACTCCACTCATTTCCATTCCTCAAGTTGCTTCCATAATATAACGATTTGTAAAATATATTTTAATCAGTCAGTTTTTTGGTAAAGTCCTGGGGTTTTGGGGTTTTGGGGTTTTGGGG